GTTAGCTTTCCACGTGAGGTTCTTTTTCTATATTGCATCTGTATTGTAGTCCCCATTAAGCAAATTACATGCACGTGTGCACACATATTCTTTATACCTAGGAAAAGCAAGTGCTGCTCCCTAGTCAAGACAGACAGCAAATTTTCCATCTTTTTGTTTCAGTAATGATAACCATAATAACCCATGGTCAGTCATTTTGAATTTATGTATTCATAATTGGGGCAAATTTTTTAAAAATTATGACCTTCAAATGAGCTTTTACCAGTTCAATACAGTAACCACATTAATTTATTTATTGAAAGGGGTGCTTGATTATATATCTCTACGATTAATTCTGTGCCGATGCACATCCCTGAAAGTTTTTAGATGAAGTTTTCATGCATTTTGGAATCAATTTCGGAGGTGATAACCCATCTGAACACAAAATTCTTCGAGCTTGGAAATATATATTGAGTTTCACCAACTTGCTTAGACAATCTCTGAGTTATATCGTAGATTCAATAAGTTGCATGCTCATCAACATAAACAAAATTCATGCCACTTCTCAAATTCCTTCAATGGCAAATGACATAAAACTTGGATATCATCACAATGGAAGATGGTTAGATTCTTGATATACATAAACCATGAATAAAAGTTACAGAGGTCTGATCATTTCCAAGAGTAGTGTGTCAGGTAAAAGCGTATAGCCATTGGCATTCTCCCACTACCTTTTGATCTGTGTCCTATTAGGAAGTAGGTAAATTCTTACATCCATTCTAGCTGTAAAATTGACATTTCTGGTTTTTCTTTGTTCTATTTATATAGTTATTTATTGCTTAACCAGTGCCTCGGATGCTTAAAAATGGAGGCACAGCCTCACCACTATATAACAAGACAATGCAACTTTTGTTAAATAAAAAATTGCTGTCATGAGAACAACCAAACGATAAACTAATAAGCTTGGGGACTTTACATGTCCTAAGGTAGAAACATGAATGCCAAACTTTTCTGTGTTTTTTTTCGTTAGATTATTTATGATCTTTTGTAGTTTGATACTGCCAAAAAAAAAAAAAAAAAGAAAAAAGGAAAAGAAAGTGGACAGATAGAGAAAGACGCACGTGGGGTTGCATGCCTCACTGCTCACCATTCTCTTTTTCTTTTACAAAACCGAAACATAAACCATACGCCAAAGACTCATCGTTTTTTATTACTAAACCTGTTGTTATTTTGAAGCAAAGAAAACTTTACTCACTGTTGCTTTTCTTAACATCAGAAACATTACAATTTAAAGTCTAATTAATAACTACCCACTAAAATCATAATCCTAAGATTAAACCATGACCACCAGCATGAATAACAAAAAATAACCAACACCAAAAAAACAGGAACAACATGAAACATTCAATGAATTCACATTAGCAGTCCTAAACACATCTTCTAACACTCATCCTTGCTTTAGGAGCTGCAAACACCAAGTTTTGTCCTCAGAAATTCAAACTTGCTAACTGACAGTGGCTTGGTAAAAACGTCTGCAACCTAATCTTCTGTTTTGCAGTAGACAAGAACAATAGCTCCATCTTTCTGTACTTCCTTTAAGAAGAATATTTAATATTAAAATGTTTAGTTTTCCCATGAAACACAGGATTTTGAGAGATAGCAATAGCAGCTTGATTTTCAACAAGAATTTCCATGCTTTCTTCCTGCTCTAAGTTAAGATCGATTAAAATCTTTCTTAGCCACAAAGCTTGATTAACAACAGTTGTTGCAGCAATAAACTTTGCTTCAGCTGTGGATTGAGCTACAATTTCTTTTTTTTCGAGTTCCATGAGAAAACACCAGAACCAAGTGTGAAACAATAGCTTGAAGTGCTCTTCATATCATCAATGGAATCTCCCCAATCACTGTCTGAGAAACCAATCAGCTTGAACTCTTTGCTCTTTGTATATTTAATGCCAAAATCACATGTGTCTTTCACATATCTAAGCACCATTTTTACAGCCTTGAGATGCCATTCGTTTGCACAATGCATAAATCAAGATAAAATGCTTACAGCATTCAAAATGTCAGGTCGAGTTACTGTGAGAAACATTAAACAACCAATCAGGCTTCTGAAATATGCCTGATCAATCTTCTCTGTTCTATCTTCTTTACAGAGCTTTTCCTTTGAGTTCATTGGTGTCTTCATTTCTTTACATTCTTCGAGTTTAAACTTTTTCAGAATCTCTTTGACATATTTCTTTTGACAGATGAAAACTTCATGTTCATTCTGTTTAATTTCCATTCTAAGAATGAAGCTCATCAATCCGAGATCTATCATCTCAAAGAACTCCATCATCTCTTGCTTAAACTTCTCCACAATACTTATGTTGTTTTCTGTCACAAGTAAGTCATCCACATATAGTGAGATGATAAGAATGTCAGTTCCATTGTGCTTGACATATAATGTTGATTCAGATAAGCTTTTGACAAATCCCAAGTTCTGTAAATGTTTATCAATCCTGCTGTACTAAGCTCTTGGAGCTTGCTTCAATCCATAAAGTGCCTTTTAAAGAAGATAAACCTTGTCTTCTTCTCCTTCCTTAACATAACCTTCTGGTTGTTCTACATAAATCTCCTCCTACAGAAAACCATTCAAGAATGCTGACTTGACATCTAATTGGTGCACTTTCCAATTCATTTGTGCTGCAACGACGAGTAAGAGCCTGATGGTGTCGAGTCTAGCAACTGGTGCGAAGGTATCTGAGTAGTCCACACCGAGTATTTGAGCATATCCTTTGACCACGAGTCTAGCTTTATACTTGTTGATTGAGCCATCAGCATTAAGCTTGGTTCTGTACACCCATTTGACTCCAATTACTTTTTTATTTTGGGGTCGATCAACCAACTCTCATGTTTCATTCCTTTCAATCATGAATAGCTCCTCTTTCATTACAGCAATCCAATTTTGATCCGTCTTGGCTTCTTCATAATTTGTAGGTTCACACACAGCAATATTGCATCTTTAATAAACATCAAAAAGTAGTCTTGTGCCTCTGATAGGACTGTCATCCACCATTTCATTCTCCCAGTCTCCAATGCTAGGAAACTTGAGCTTGTGCTCTTTTAAGGTTGGATCCATCTTTTTTGCATCATCCCAGTTTCACTCTTCATCTTTCATAAAGTGCACATCCCTGCTTATAATAATTTTTCCAGTTTGTGGCTGAAAAACTTTATAAACTTTTACAACTGAGCTGTAGCCAATAAAGATGCCTGAAAGTGCTCTTTTATCTAATTTATCTTTCTTGGTCTGTGAAACATAAGTGAAGCACAAACATCCAAATATTTTAAGGAAATTCAGAGATGGTTTATAACCATACCATGCCTCAAAGGGTGTTTGATCCTTCACTGCTCTTGTGGGAAACCTGTTTTGCAAAAAAAATAGCAGTATTTACTGCTTCAGCCCAAAATTGCTTTGGCAGGTACTTCTCATGTAGCATACATCGTGTCATCTCTAATATGAATCTATTATGTCTCTCACTTACTCCATTTTATTGTGGAATGTATGGAGCAGTTAATTGATGTTGGATGCCTGTCTCTTCACAAAAATGAGTGAATGCTTCAGAAGTGTACTCTTTACCATTGTCTGATCTAAGAGTTTGAATTCTGCAGCCACTCTCATTCTCAACTCTGGCTTTAAAGTTCCAGAAGACTTGAGCCACCTCTGACTTGTACTTTAAAAAGAAGATCCAACACATACGGGTGAAATCATCAATGAATGCAACATAATAAAGATTACCTTTCAGAGAAGGCGTTCTTTGTGGGCCTGCAATATCAGTATGAATTAATTGTAACTTCTTTTATGCTCTTCATGTTGCCTTGGGAAATGGTTTCCTACTTTGCTTTCCAAACTGACATGCTTTGCAGTTTGAAATATGATCATCAAGTTTTGGAAAATCATTTACCATATTCTTGGATTTCATCTGCAGCAGCCCCTGATGATGATAGTGCCCGAGCCTCTTGTGCCATACTTCAGTGATATTTTCTTTGATTAGAAAAGCAGTTTGCTCCTCCTCTAATAGATTTAGAGCAAAGCTTTTCCTTTCATTTTACTTTGAAAATATCTTGGCCAACTGCATCTTTAATCAAGCAACTTTTATCTTCGAACATAATTTATAACCCTTTTCAATTAGTGTCCAACACTTAACAAGTTTGATCAATTTCAAGGACATATAATACATCAAAATGAACTTTGTACCTGAACAAGTTGAAATTGCAACTGTTCCTTTTTCCTTCAAGTTATGTACTTGCCATTACCAACTCGAACTTTGATGAGTTTGCGTTACTTAGTTCCCTGAATAGATCCTTGTCATGTGTCATATGATTAGTACAACCACTATCTATAAGCCAACTCTCACTTGATTCGATGTCGGAGAAACATGTAGCTACGAACAGGTGATTCTTCCTCTTTTGATCAGCAATCTTTGCATCTTCACCAATGTTGCAGAATTTTGTTTTTGCAGATAACAGCTTCATGTCCCATCTGATTACATTTAGTCATTTAGCATCAGGTCTTCTCCAATATCTAAATGGAGGACGACCCTTCTTTCCACAATGTTGGCAAGGTGAATAGGATTTCTTTTGATTTTCATTCTTTTTTTTTTTTGCATTGGCTGATGCAGTACTTGCCCCATTTCCTTCAAAATCCTTTTTCTTCTTTCTTTTGCTTTTGGCCACATTTTGATGCTTGACTGCCAAAGCTCCTTCAATTGTTGTATCTTCCCTTATCAGTCTTCTTTGTTCTTGTGCTTGCAAAGCATTAAGCAATTCTGTTAAGAAAATTTTTGACAGATCCTTTGTATTCTCCAAGGCAGTGATGGTTGCTTCATATCTTTCAGGAACTGTAACAAGAATTTTTTCTACAATTCTTGAGTCAGTAAATTCAGATCCAAGAAGCCTTACTTTGTTTGCGATACTCAGAAGCTTATCGGAGTAATCTTTGATCGTCTCGAAGTCTTTCATTCTTTGAAGTTCAAATTCCCTAATCAAGTTAAGGACTTGCATCCCTTTAATTCTTTCATCTCCTTCATATTCATTCTTGAGATAATCCCATATCTCTTTTGCTGACTTCAGAGACATGATACGAGTGAAGATGATGGATGAGACTGCAGCAAACAAGCAGGCCTTTGCCTTTGATTTCTTTGTCTTCTTTTCTTTCTGTGCTTTAATCTGTGCCATGGTGGGATTGTTTGGAAGTGCAGGAATTTCATAGTCTTCTTCCACTACTTCTCAAAGATCTAAAGCTTCCAAGTATGTCTCCATACATACTGCCCAAATCTGGTAGTTATCTCCGTCGAACATCGCCGGAGCAATTGCGGAGAAATTGGCTTCAGCTTTCATGACACGTGAATTTCACACACAGATCACTTAAGAAGAAGGCTCTGATACCAAATGTTGTTATTTTGAAGCAAAAAAAAACTTTACTCACTGTTGCTTTTCTTAACATCAGAAACATTACAATTTAAAGTCTAATTAATAACTACCCACTAAAATCATAATCCTAAGATTAAGCCATGACCACCAACATGAATAACAAAAAAATAACCAACACCAAAAAAACAGGAACAACATGAAACATTCAATGAATTCACATTAGCAGTCCTAAACACATCTTCTAACAAAACCTCTAGCTCTTTCCCTATATTAAAGATAAGTTTATTGCCTTATTCTCACTTCTTAGTCCTCTCATTAATTTTTTCTTGTTTATAAGTAAACAAGTTGCTTAAACTTTGACAGTTTTTGATTAAATTATTCAAGAGAAACTTCCCTTGTTTTCTCTTTTGACATAGAAATAGTTGGTGTTTCTTCATGTTGACTTAGGAATTTTAACATCAACAGTAAACTAAATCTACTTTCGGTTTACCAAACCACTTTTTTTTTTTTTTTTTGAAGCTTTTTATCTGAGGTTTTCCTTGGAAGGTACTTTGGTTTTGTGGTATTTGGTTCAAAGCTTTAGATTATTCATTTTTCAGAGTAGCTTATCATTTCCATTAATGGTGGAACTTCAAACTTGCGCTAGCTTGGTCAATGCTTCTGCATTGTGTGCAAAAGAGCAAGAAACGAAGGGTCAGAGTAGTGTAAATGTCGTTGCGGAGATTGCAGCTGAATTGCAAAGGGAGAGAGAAAAAAATGCTGAGCTTATGGAGAGAATATCATTACTTGAAGCCCAAATTCAAGAAAGGGATAATAAATCTCTTCTAACAAATGAACAAGTATGAGTTCCCACTCCATATTTTGTGTTTGGGTTTAGTCTGTTTTTATAGTCCTCTCATCTCTTTATTAAGTCATTTGCAACCTATTGATTTTCAACTCAATAATATGCATCCATTTCCAGAAAAATACATGATCAAATGTACATTTCATTATTTTATCTCCGGTTTGCTTTGTCTATTATGCATTCTTTTGACGCCTTGATTGGAAGCTGTTATCATTTCTCATTCACAAGACAAATAATGGTATTGTCTATTTGCAATAGGATTGGACAGTTGATTTTACTATAGGAGCCATTAGATAACCGAACAAAACAGATAGGAGATCTTCTATGGCATTTATATTGTAGAATAGATTTTGGAATAACCTTAAATTTCTTGACTTCTCAAGATCTTGGTCTTTTATAAATGGTTCAATGGACTTTAATTCCGCCAATGAAACATGGTATTGTAATTCATAGAGCTTATATATATCTGCTGTTTTTTCATTTTCAAATGCAAGTCTGCATATTCTAAGCAACTAAACTTTAGCAGTTTTTCACATTTACAGAAACTAATGTAATGGGTTTGCCTAACTAATATTTCTGAGACAGAAAAGAAAAAGACCTAAAAGAATGATCATCATATGGATGAACTTAGTGTCCCTTCACCTGTTAGCTGAATCCAAACAAAATTCCGCTGCCACTGTGCTTGATGGCCCTGCCTCTTATGTTCTCTCACAGGTCAGCTTTCTTGATACCACAGAAAGAAGCTTCAAAAGGTTAAAAAGACAGAAGATAGAAACAAATAGTCATAGAATTGAAGATGGAAATACTGAAATGGCCTCTAAGGCAGAAAATGATACAGCACACATACCTCACGTTGAGGAAAATCAGGAAGACCGCTTAGTTAACTGGATGAGCATGGATGAGACCCTTTTTTCACATTTTGATAAATTTAAAGAGAGTGAAATTGCTGCATTTCGTGAGGATACAGTTGACAGTGATGATGAAGATGAATATTATGAAGAGGATGATTCTAACACTGGTTATAAAGATAGGGAAAGTGAAGAGAGTCCAAGAAGTGCTTGTGAAGAACCACCTCATGAGGAAGGTGTTGGCCAGGGAATGCATATATCTTGTCTGCAAAGTCGTTCCAGTAGTCGAAGTGAGCTGACATTTACAAGCACTAGCCAGTTAATAAAAGAACATAGAGAAAAGGATTACACACTACAGGAACAGGATATACAAGTAGCTTTAAACAGAAGCAATCTGAACTATGACATGAAGGAAACAGAAAAAAATGGACCCAAGTCTCCAGCAGATATGCCACCTCATGGGCAAGAGCCTTGTCATATGGTACCTGGAAAGACATCATGGAATAAGAAACCTCCCAAAGTTCCTTTCTGTCCAAAAGAAATAAAGAAAATACTTGAATCAGATGCCCTTTTATTGAAAAATGCTCAGTCACACACCATAAGGAAGATCATTGTTTTTGCATCCCTTGCCATAAGGCATGGATGTGAAGATATGTATGAGTTGGACTTCAATCACTTCAGCATTTTAAGGAAGGGGGATCCATACGTGTCTCCAAAGAATCCAGGGGTAAGCAGCCTAATTTTATAATGTTAGTGAAATGTCCTCTGCTTTCTCTGCTACTAATATAATTTCTTCATATATATGAGTTTTAGGCTTCTAGCCATGATCAGAGCTAATCGTTTAATGGTTGCTTTCAAACTTTCACCGCTCTAATGCATTGTTGATGTTATTAGAACTTATGGCCTAAATTTAAGTTATATGGAGGATACATTATCTTTTGATAAAATAGTAATATATTTTGAAATAAAAACTTCTTCAAATTTAGATTTTTTTATTTTATTTGAATCAAGTCATAATCCCTCAACTTCATTTAAATCCAATTCTTCAAAATGCTTTGTTTTCTAAAAGACATTCACCTGCATATTTCTTCCGTATGGTGGTGTTTCTATGATTTAAGCCTTCAGTTCAAAAGCTGACTGAAAGGCATGCAGTGTTTTAACCACTGTCAGGTGCCAATGCAGCCTTCAACAAACTATTATAATTGTTTGCTTCACTGTAATCTTTGGATGTAGAACAGATCAAGTGAATTATTGCATATGATTTTTTCCATTCTTTCAATGTTGTAACAAGAAAGTACTTAAAATTCATTTATTACAGGAGCGTGTCTTATATGAGAATCCTGGAATCCAGAGGAAGGTTTTCTATCCAAATCGACAGAATCCAACACTATGTCCGGTCCAAATACTTGAGGAAGAGAAGGCTATGCGTCCTTCTGATCCCAGCTGTCCATCATGCCTATTTTTATGCATCAAGTATGGTGGAAGGACAAGAAATCTTCCTCAAAATGAGTAAGTACTGCTTTGACAATTGATTTTCCATGCTTACCCGTAAAAAGACTGACTGTCATCATTGTTAGTAGAAAAACTTACCTTGTGAACGTTTTTCATAAACACAATAGTTTTAAACTTATTCTTCACTTAAAAATACTTGAGCTTGTACCTCATCAGCCTAAACTAGAAATATTTTTGGGTTGAATTTTCCCAGATATGTCAGGCAGCGAATGGGAAGAAATAAACTAAAGTCTTTTGGACCTGTCATGTGCCGAATGGCAATGCTAGTCCATATTCGCAGCGGGAGCTTCTTCTTCAAGGCCTTGGGCATCACACTTCTGTTCATGGCGGGTTTTCCTGATGACCTTGTTCAACGAGAAACAAAACACAGGAATTTTGACTTGCTGCAAAAGTATTATAGGTAAGGAGTTCCACAGAAATGGTAGACTTGCAAGACAAATATTCACATATAGAATGGAAGAAGAGGAGATAACATTGTGAATCTCCATTATGGACTTGTAGATATCACCTTCAGCTTCTTTCAAATTAGCCCTAAAATAAATGGATTTAGGTTGCACTTTGCCACTGTTATGATGTCTCACTTTTGCAATTAATTTTCGGCAGTTCACTCAATATTCATCCTTCATATTACAGGACAGACGAGGATGCTGAAGGTGAAGAGTTGTTTCTTTCACATTCAATCGCTTCCAACACTGTAAGATCACAATTCCTAGAACACATCGTTCTACATTTCAGTTATAGTTTTTGAGGATTTTAGTTTCCTTCACTGGTGTCACAATTTTAAAGCACGATACTAGTTATCAAGGAGAAAGATAAAATGACTCTGCATGGTAGGAAAATTGGCTATGGCCTATGAGCTATTTCTTAATATACAGAAAGGAGATTTGGAAGTTGGAACCACATTCCCATAAAAACCAGTTATGAACTGAGTCATTTGAGCACTAAAATGACTGCTTAGGAAAGGAGTTTGCAGTTGTGTCTAAATTTGTATCTTGTCCTTGATTCTACAATGGAATTTGACTTCAGAAAATTAAGTAGATAAGGTGAGGGATACATCATTCTGATGGAAATGGTAGAATGCATTTGTTATCCAGTGATGCACAATAGCAGGGGTTGCTCTATAGGTACTATGATCTCATCTTGAATCCATTGCCAATTTTATGGTTTCTGAATTCTAATTATCTTTTTCAGCAGGCTAGTCCTAGTTCTCAGCAATTAACTGGGAAGACTACCTCAACAAAAACAAAGGGAAGAAGGCAGACAAACTCCAATAGCAAGTCTCATAATTTGCCAAAAGCCTCATTTCAACAATCAGCACCTTCGAGTTCAACACATCCTAACCAATTTGGCCTGATGGGCTACACCTCCATTCAAACTCATGCAATGGCAGCATTTCAGTCCACATCATCCCAAGCTCCAGCTGATACTACACCAGTCTCAAACATAATGATGAAGAGTCTCGGTAATATGGTCTCCTACCATAATCAAACCCCATATCACTTGTTTCCGCCACAACCAGCAAATACTTACATGCCTATGGTATATTGGCCTCCGCCAAATGTCTTTCCCCTCAGTCCTTATCCTACTACTTATGGTTATCGATCTCATCCAACTAACGCAAATTACATCTCCATCCATCCTCGGCCATATCATAATCAGCTTTCCTCCAGTTTTTTATCCCTAAGACAATGGAAGGTAATGAGAAGGATGTTTCGGCATCCTCAGAAGGTGATAGTGACTCAGATAGCAGTTCAAGCAGAATGGAGGAACCAAAAGAGGCATTAGCAAGTTGCGGGTAGCGGACCAAATATGCGAATACAATATTTCTTGTAAATTACCATCACAAGAAAAAGAACTTGGTACAAGAAAGTTGCTAAATTATGCACTTTGAGCCTTTTCTTACCCATTGTGTGCATCACTTAAAAAGCTAAAGCTCCCATGTTCGTTCCACTTGTTATTAGATCACGGTCAGGAGTCTTTTTGTCCTGACATTGCATCATTTATATGATGAATAATTCACCAATTTGCCTCAAACATGCAAGATCAGTTATTATAATTTGATGAACATTCTGCCCATCAAGTTTACGTGACCTGTACTTATTTTCTGACAATTTTTATTTTTGTCTACTTTTTTTACCTGGAAAATAATAGATTATATCGGTTCATAACATATGCAAAGAAATCTATGCGTGAAACAAAAACAACTTAGAACACAAACTCAAACCACATTTATACTGAAAACACACCTCCATCGACATCAAACAAAACGATAAAAAACAATCAGACAAACATTACACTCACCATTCCCACCAAAACCGGCACTATCATATTTTCCCTACCATACCCAAAACCTATCACAAGACTCACAACACATAAAAAAGCAAAAACCACGGCCCTTACAAATTGTGAGGAACCCAGTAGAAAAGAGAATAAAAAAGCAAAAAAAAAAAAAGAGCAATTTCGGCTGAACAGTAAAAGGCTTGGACTGTTCGGGCAAAGATTTGGCTAGCAAAAGAGGAAGGGAGAAGAGAAAAAAAGAAAGAAGGGAGAAGCTGAAAGAGAAGAGGGGTGGCAACCAGTTACTAGGCAAGGCCCAGATTCGACTAAGAGAGAAGAAAGAGAGAAGGAAAAAGAAAGACGAAAAAAGAAGATAGGAGAAGAAGAAGCTCCAAAAGCTTCTCATCTTTTTTCCTTCCCAAATTTGTCGTCCAATTTCTTTTACGACATTGATGAGTTGTTGAGTAATTCTACTTGCGGATAACTTATACTAGATCTTAACTCGTGCAACACCGCGGGAGTTTTTCTAATGATTTCAAGTAGGAAAATATTAACTCAAAGTTAATGAAGATGGAAATTATCTTTTGATACCGTCGGACATCTTCATTTGGTAATCACCGACTATTCTCTCAATAGTGAAAAGATGACCATGCAAAATTAACTAAATTAAGAAATGTATACCCCTAGAGTTCAATTGGAACGATCAAAATCATAAAGCTCAAAAGTACCTTTTCATGGCGATCTAAACACAAGTTGTTTGCAGAACATCATTTCATACAAAATTAAAGACAAACCTATAAGGGAAGCAAAAAAAAAAAAACCTTAAAAAAAAGGTAGAAAAAGATGTCATTAAACACAACGTTTTCAACATATTTAAAACAAATAAACATTAAAAACTATAGTTGAGAAATTGGAAATAGACGAGAGAAGTAATAAATAAGAGAGAACATTATTTGAGTAAGAAGTATAAAAAACCAAATCAAGAAATAAAAAAAAAGATAATTAACTCTATAAATATTAAGAATTACAAACTAAATAAAAAGTAATAAACTAAAATAATGCGTATTAATAACTAAAATAACATATCACATGGTTGAACTTATCAAATAAATAGAGATAGATCTCAACATCATGGTAAAATACATATAGTTCCATGTTCATTGAGTCTATTATTGATTTTTGAATTTCATTGATAATATATGTTTTACATATTTTATTAAGAAAAATAAACTACATGTAGGCAAGAAATATTTGCATATACAATACGTAGCCTTAAACAAAACAAACAATGATCCTTACAATGTAATCAAATCTTACATCATTGTTGAAAAAAAAAATTTATTATACTTGAGATTGTTATCATACACAATCACTTAAGTCTTATTATCTCAATCTTTTAATAACGGACATGCCTAAAAAATTTATTTTGAGTTGAAAAGGGGAAAATGATATCTACTTAATGTAAATAAAAACTTCTGATGATAAGATTGCTATAACAAAGATTGTAAAATGTTAGCACGATAGAGGCGAAAGGTAAACACCTTGAAAGAATGTAGTTATTAAAGAAACTAGAGATTGAAAAAGAAAATTATCAAAACATCAAATTTATAGAAAGGAATCAAACAAATTGTCAATGCAATTTTTTTGCATCATATAAAATATATATGTACTCAATTAAATAAAGATAAAGATATAAGTGAGAAAGTAATTTGAGGTTGCAACAAAACCTCATGCTCACCTTTCAAGACCTGGACAATTTTATTAATTGTATAGTCTTCATGTTCAATATTAATGAACATTACCTCTATAAAACACTGCATAGGCAAAATATTATAAAAGTTAGTCAATTATTCACCTTCCACTTACAAAAATAAATGTAAAGTTTCTTTTAATTTGAAAGCCTTTCTTTGTTAATTAACTTAATTGGACTTCATCAATTGTAGGCTAAGCTCCTTAAAGTGAAGCTAAAGAGTAGTAGAAAGAATACAGCTATTAAAAAAGCCAAAGATTAGAAAAGAAAATTATTGAAACGTCAATTTCATTAAGTTAATTAAACAAATTCTCATTCCAATCTTTTTGCATTATATAAAATATTAGTATATATATATATATATATAGAGACCCGCACTCAACCTGCGAGATATTGTCCGCTTTGACCCGAAGATCTTACAATTTTATCCTACAAAAGACGTCTCACAAGTTTGAGAGGCGTTACAATCTCCTCACTTTTAATACTTGACGTCCTTGTCATCTTACAATTTTATCTTACAAAAGACGCCTCACAAGTTTGAGAGGCGTTACAATCTCCTCACCTTTAATACTTGACGTCCTTGTCAAGCCGAGTTCATCTCCATTGTGTAACACTTAGTGACTCCGGACTGGTGATCGCTCTGATATCATTTGTAGAGACTCGCACTCAACCTGCGAGATATTATCTACTTTGACCCTGCGAGATATTATCTGCTTTGAATCGAAAGTCTCACAATTTTATCTTACAAAAGATACTAGTTTAAAATTAAATTTTTACATATATATTTTTTTTTATCCACACATCCTTCTGATGTGAGATTGAAGGCGTTACAATATATATATATATATATATATCTATTCAATTAAATAAAAATAAAAATATAAGTGAGAAAGTAAATTGAGATTGCAACCAAACCTTATGTTCACCTTTCAAGACCTCGACAATTTTGAGTCATTTTGAAACCGAAGTTAAAAAATACAATTTAATAAAAAAATATCATGTATGAAAAAAATAATCCAAATACGAAATTATTATCCAAAAAATCCCATCATCATATAAAAAAATAATTTTTATGAACACGTGCAAACAAATCAATATAAGAAAATAGAAATAATTAATTGAATAACATGTATGTTTAGAAACAACAACGTTAAAAGAACAATAAGAAACCATTGTCGTAGAACAAACCATCAACAAAGAAGACCGGAAAAAATGAAGAAATCAAATGGAATAAGTCATCTGATTGCACTGGGTTTAGCCACCAACTGCTAGATCAGGACTGATCTTTTGGACCCAATCAAACCACCACTGATCTTTGATTTCTTTTCTCCTTTCTCTTTTTTTTTTTTTTTTTCTTTGTTTTTACGGACCGTCTCCCTTCATAAACCAGCGTCGGAACCCATGCCAATTAGAATAATGCTTCCACCTAGTCTAGCCATCGCGATTGATCTTTTGATCTCCCTCAATAGACCGGCATAGGAACTCATATCGGTTGGGATGCATGCACCAAGTCTAGTCACCAACCACCAGATCAAGACTAATCTTTTGAACCCAATCTCCCACAACAGGTTTTTGTCTCGATCTCCCTTCTCTCTTCTCCTTTCTCCCTTTGCCCGTCTCCCTTCTCTCCAAGCCTCTGTCTAAAAGGTTCTATAATTCTTTGTTTATTTTTTGTTTCAATGTAATCGGTAGCACCAATCAAAATATTTTGACATTTGAACAAAATATTTTAACATTTAAAAGGAGGTTATCATCTTTTATTACCAAAATTTCTCCTCAAATCAACTTTAATGTTCTATGCTAACTGACTTAAAATTGAGCTGTAAAATTCTTGGCAATAACTTTAATATTAAGTTATAGATATAAAGGTATAGATGTTGTAGATAAACAAATTCAATGATATCATGGCGGTCGCTATCAATGTCTGCTCCATATTTGAGCATTTGCCCCCCCAACTCTGATAATTCATTTATGTTATACATCTTTCATGAGTGAGACTCAGGCCCACATCTTCATTCTTCATTCATCTCTATCTGCACTAAATTTATATTTGTATATATATATATATATATATATATATATCGGTGGCCACCTACCAAGATATAGTAAATTTTCTAGGCATAAAAATATAAATAAAATCTGTATATTTCTTGACATAATGGAATCTTATCCTTCCTATGTAAATCTTTCTTTTATCATCAAAGATTCAACTTGTTTAAATATCCCACTACTTCTGTTTTTTTAGCTGGTGTCTTTTTGGAGGGCCAGAGTCTGTTTCATTTCTTCTTCTTGTTGGGAACGGGGGTCTTTCATTAATATGCACCCATCACCATGACATCGTAATAGAGAAGGCTCTATGCATGAATCATCAAAAATCAAACCATTGAAATCCATGAATCATACACCATCAACACCATCCTTACATATGTACGTACATATATACATACATACATCCGAACATCCACTGTTCCCATGACCAACATCAACTTGAGCAACAAGAGAATGGAAACCAAGCTATGCTAAAAAAAAGGCATGTAATGAGCAAAGCCACCAGATTGATCATATCAAACCAGTACAACTATACTGATCACTGCACATTAACAAACTAGTCTTAGTAGTCTAGGACTAGAACATCCATTTTATTCTTCCACACTAACTCTCTTCTTCCTAACATAAACAAGGAAGAGATAAGATGAGATAGTGTGCTCGTAGGAAAGCAATTTAGTGAAGCTTGTTCGCAACATTGCACTGTTTCCTGATCTCACCCTTGGAACCAGTGAGGGGATTGTTCTCAGAAAGGATGGTAATGGCTCTCGCAAACTCCTTGAAGAAATAGTCTTGGCTCTTTGCCATTTTCTTCACATAAGGTTTAGTCCTCTTGTCATAAGCCAGTTGGTGATCCACAATTAACAAGCCCTTGTTGTCCAGAATGTTTCTATAATAGTTGTTATCCAGTACCATGGGTGTCCCTCTGTCGTTTCTCACATACTGCACAGCCTTGGGGTCCGGAATTTGATCAGGGCATTTGTGGAGCATGTGTGGAACATGGTCAGGGTTGAGGGCAGGGTCAACCTCTGGGTACAGACGATGAACCAGCTTGACACAGTGCGTTCTACCTACACTATGAGCTCCTGTTTTGCACAATAAAATACCAAAATATAGAAACTTATGCCACACGGATGCTAGAATATAATGTCATATACCCACATTGACACATGCATTGAAGGATTCATGTAAAAATGAAAAGGTCTACCTAGGAGGGCAACGACTCCAGGGGTGTTAATACCCATGGCAGCAAACCTGTCAAGAACGACAGAGATGGTCTCATTGTGGTCCGGAAGATACTCCTCAACTACATCTGCTCTGCTCCTTCTACCATCTCTTCTTCCTGTTTTAAGAGGGATGTATGGACCTCCCAGCTGAAACAAGTAAATTCAGGATTATTTTTAACCTGCCTGATGCCCTGAAATGCTAAAATTAGTTATTCACATTTCACAAAATTAAAAGCCATAAGCATCTTCAAAGAAAAAAGGTGAAATACCGCGAGCAACCTCCAGGAATTTTAAGTACATAAAGGTTACGAAAGGAACCATCTCAACACAGTATATATAGATAAGAGAAGAACTATGAAATTGAAACGTCAAAAGACTGTGAAAGCAAAGGTTAGTAGGTTAATCAAAAGAAAGCCCCATCGATCTTGCAGATCTAGTGCAAAGAGCACGTTTCGAGTGAAACAAAGACAACTAAGAAACTTCAACAGATAGAAGGTTACTTAATGAAGGCGAGTAAAATCTAAACGGCTGTCAAAAGTAATTACCGAAACAATGCCATCTCTAGCAGACAACACAAGGATATCTGCGCAAGAAACAACTCCAGGGCACTCCCTTTCTACAGCTTCTTTGATGGTCTCAATATACCTGAAATTCCGAAGGCCAAAGCTCCTGTCTGTCTCCTTCTCAGACAAGATCCTTCTTGTCGAGTCCAGCAGCAGTGAAGCATCACATGACTACTCAAAAAAAAAAAAAAAGCAAAACAAAACAAACATACATGCATGTAACTATCAAGAATAAGAATATAGTACAACAAAAGTGAAAAGGACTGAATATAAATTACCTGAACAGCACAATCATGGAAAATGTTTCTCAGCCAAGAAAATGCAGTGTTCTTGTGGCGTTTGTATAGAAGCTTAACTTGCTCTCTAATAATGTCTTCAGCTGAGGACATGTATCCTTGTAGAAGTCCATAGCAAGGCCTGGGTCTTTCTCATTCTCTGCAAATGCGGACACAGCTGAAATGGAGAGGAAAGCAAAGAAGAACAAAACTTTGGCACCCATAATTTCCTCACTATTCCCACCAAAGGTCACTGACCTTGCTTTGGATCTTTAGTAAGGTGCTGCTTAAATAATTCAGAGAGTGACATATTTTGGTAATAAAATAAGCACAGTTGTGAAAATTTTACGCTCTTTTTAACATTTGTAATTAATACTCTCCAGCATTTACTGCCAAAGAGAGTCCCCCTTTTTTTTATAATCTTGATTGTGTGAAAAGTTGGCAACAACTGTAAGAGTTATCAACAGAAAATGGCAAAAATGCTTAGCAGTTACGATTCAATATTGATAAAGGTTTTCTTTATGCACTGTAATTCTCTGCATGCAGAGTGCACAAAGATCGATAGAGGGCCCAGAGCTAGCGGATCAATCGGTGTCTCGTGAAGGATCAAGGAACCGACCTAAGATTGGAGTCCCTTGTCAAAATCAAAGCAAACTTTTTAAGGCAAGTGCCAGGAAGATGATATACTATTTGATACTAATTGAAATGCAGGATCTCGAGGTAAGAAGGGTAGATATCAGCAAATATGAACTGAAATGTGTACGGATTTTGTGAATTTTTTATGCTAATGAGAATTAATAGGATTGACTTGGATGATAAATTGATAAACCAACATTGAACTTGCATATGCCTCACTGTTTTTTCTAATCTTTTGGCACACATTTAACAAATTTAATTCAATTTTTTTCTCAAAGCAAAGACATGATGTTTATAAAAAAAAAAAAAAAAGGCAAAGACATGATGAATGGGTGAAAAAACAAAATAATAAAGACAAAACACAATGTGGGTTATTGAATTTAGGCAGTTATAATGCATATGGTCCACACATACTTTAGATTTAAAGCAAAACTTGAACTGCTATTCTTTGTTTCCTTTTTACTACAATTAACACCTTAACTTAGGAAAAATTAGCAAAAGAGAAAATTAAGTCAACATACCTTTCACTTTCAAGTGGGGTAGTTGTTGGTAAAAAGCTTAAAAGAATTACTAATCAAAATATTAATTTAAAGATTGGAAGCTATGAGGGAAATGATAAGTTACATTACTCATAAAGTATCTAGTTAGTCAACTATTTTTCTTGTGGATCATGATTTTAATCTTTGTGAGGAGTATTTAAAAAATAAAATTTAAAATTCATAAATTGATGTGAAAAATACTTAAAATTACAAGAAAAATAAATTAAATTAAGATAAAAACCTAAAAATACTTTTGATTGTGCTATAAAAAAGAAAAAGAAAGAGTGATAAGCTACATTGCAGATTCAAATGAAACAAAAGCATTAGATTCTTTTGGATGAAGAAGACTATACCAACCTACCACCTCGAAGCATTTGCCTTTCCTTTTTTTGTGGGGAACACTTTCTTCAATTTAAAGATGAGGTACAGATTTATCGAAAGCTACATTTTTTTTTTTTTTTTATAATAGAAACTTACATAAAAAATTATTTTTAATGACAAATAGTAAGTTCCCATCTCCTTCCAACTTTAGATTATTGAAATACAAGGAGACAAAGCTAAAATTATTATGTTGTGACATTTAAAGCAAATGACATTTCACGTCATTACTTTATAGGGAAATTATTAATCTTGATTGATTACTTTGGAATTCAATAATTAAGAGAGTTTGGAGGCTTTAGGCAACCAACAAGGGTCTAGCTCTATGTCTAAGGAGGAGCTGGAAGAGTGGAGGGCCACAATGCCCTTTTATAACCTTCTATTCCTTTTGTTTTGGGCTTTAGTTGAATTTGTTGCAGCTTGAATTAGATTGAATTAGATTTAATTTTTTTTAATAATATATAATATCATAAATTTTTTAAATTTAATTTAAATTTAAATTGATTTGAATCAAATAAATAAAATTTTATTTATTAATTTTTAAAATTTAAATTTTTTATGTATTATTTTAGTAAGATATTTAATATATTTTAATAAATTTATATATAAATAATTATTTTTATGTTATAAAAATTTAAAATATATAAAAAAATTAATAAAAATATATAATTCGATTTATATTTATATTTTTTACATATCAATTCAAACTTAATATATATTTAATATTTAAATTTAATCTAAATTAAATAAAAAATGGATCTAAAATAAACCAAATATTACTATTTTAAATAGATTTTTTATTTTTCTTTATCACGCCTAGCAGCAGTCCAAGGGGGGCGGGAGGTTTGACGCTTGGAGCCAAGGCGAAATGGCTACACCAGCCTCAACAGTGTGGCCACCGACACTTTAATATTTACTCGTATATATGGACAAACGTGGACCCCATAAGTGATGAGTCATCACAGTCTCACACGAGAGCTTGACATAACTATTTTTACATGATTAATTAGAAAAAGAAAAAACATGTACGGACCCTATCCAACCATTAACTTGACATGGTGATGTTGCCATGGTAAACAATAAGAAACCGAAACCAACCTTCCTTTGATTATTTACAGTCAAGATTCTTAATGACCTTGTTTGCTTCTTTGTTTAACTATTCATCTAATCTTGTAAAAAGTAGCGTCTGAGTTTCTCTTTATGCATTTGAATTTTTTACATACATGCCCCTCACATGTGACGGTGATGACCAATCTTTTTTTCTAGCTTTTGCCCCATTTTCGAAGCAACTAGCACTTTATCAACATTCAGTTCATGATGACACAAGGCATTGATCATTGATGGCCCACAGCCAACTTCCTTTTCTTAAAGAAAATTTTGTAAAGGATCTGTTCATTTTTAATAAGTTCTTTTTGGTAAAAAAAATAAAGGTAGAAGAGTTATAAGTCTCCAATTCAATTTGGATTTACACTTTCATCTGTAAATTTTTCGAACCTATTATCTACCAACAAAGAATCAAAAACAATAAAAAAATTTAAACCCATGTGCAACATTCAACTCTTACCATTACTGCCAACCCTAGATGACATTCATTTCAATAAATTGTTTCTTGACAAAGTTACCTAAGTAACAACACCATGGGCTTTCTGACTGAAGCTTCTTCTCATCTGAGTTACTCGGAGTTGGTTTGGGTGGATACATCATTAATGGGTAATGGCTTAGTGGGCGGCAGATTGGGCATTACAATACAAAACTTATATGGGCCATTAATGGGTAAATGGGTTATTAACACCCACCCATAAGAGACATGGATATTGTCTGTTACAAAATATTTCATCCTTGAATCTGTCAGCATCTAACATCGGCAACAAGATGGCGGATATGCGGGCCATACCATTTCACTCTCTCCACAGGATCAATGGTCACCTCCCAACAATGACCTGCAAACAACAATAATAATGACTTAAGGGCCAGATTCTCTACACTGCTATTTCTTAAATAAATATGAAGTGCAACATGTAGGAATACATCACATAAGCCCAGAAAATCATACCTTCTGATCTTGCAATTTCGGATATTGATTTTGAGACGTGGTTAGTCCACAATCCCTCCTCTGTGTCTTTCACATTCCCATGCACACGCAATATTCCACCCTCACTCCTGCATTTTTAGAACCATCACTAAATGAGAGCACAGAAAAGGGGAGAGGGAGAGAGAGAAGAATGCACCAACTCCCCCAAAATTGAGTTCCTTTAACTTGAAAATGTAACACCCATATTTGCAGTCTAAAAACCACAAATTGAAGATCTGACTTGGAGATAACAGCAAAACTGCTACCACATTATGTACAGCCTCACCGGATACTTCTAACTCAATCAACAAAAAGCTTTTATCAACCCAATAAAAGTCCAGAACTAGAACACATCTAGGCAAATGTATTTAAACCATATGCATGCCTAGGATATCTTGTAAATAAATCATGAAAATTATCCAGGATCAAGTTCATCTGCAAGTTACAAGGGTGAATGATAGTAGACTCTTGCCTGAGATGCTATTGTTAACAGGGATAAGCAATGAGAATCATAGAAAAACTTTCAGCTAAAAATGAGGTCATCAGTAGTTTTCTCCTGGCATCTCTACATGGAGCCATTGTTCCTTTCTTCTATTTTATGATTGAATTCACATTTGAAAGTGGAAACAAGTGACGAAATTGATATTAGGAGAGGTGACAGGGAATGAACCACAAGTAATAACATCAAAACAAAGCACCTTACTGCCCTCACAGCGGTAAGCCAGCTACCCTCACTTGATGGAAGAGGACCAAGACAAACTCAATCTGCAACTCCCTGCAGGAAAATAATCAACAGGAATCAATCAACACAGTTTATTTTGGTACTTACGGCTCAAGTTGCCATGGTAATATGTTATTTTTAGTCCATTTGAATAGCCAATAAATTCAAAAATCCTAGCAGGGTCATTTCATGAAAAAGTATTTCTTCATATGCTGCCCTCAATCAGGTAACTGGACAGGAAATTTGGTCTCCAAAATGCTGAATCAAATTTTTAAAAAATAAAATAAATTCAAATGGATACATTTATCTAAGGAATGAGGATCAACACCAAAACGTTAAAACCATGATTTACTGGTGGTGCTTTTCACAGATGTTGTTAATAAACTGGCATTCATGGTTTGAATAGGAATACACTCAAAGATGCAGGGCTATACCATAGCAACTGTTAACTGGTCATCCATGAGCTTTCAGATATTTACCTGCTGCAGTTGGGTTCCTAATATAACCCATTTGAGAAAATGGAAGATTATTCTCTTTCAAATTGTGGTTAGAGAAAAACTTAGCATGCATAAGGCTCCCACGCCTTTGGTATAAGAGTTTACAATGAGTGCATGCTGATATTATTGTATTTCAAAATGCAAAAAAAGCATGTGAACATACCCTGGGTGCTGTAATCTGATTATCCCCTTCAAGTATGATACAACGATCAGAGACAGAATTGGCTAGAAGATTATGTTTAAGAGCCTCAATGGCTTGGAGATTCCATTCACCAGCAGGTACCGGATTTGCTTTTGCCCTGATTGATTAGCATAACAATTCAAAGAAAAAGTAACACCAATAGCAGAAAAGACCAATCAATCAGTGAAATTACTTGTAATGTAGGTCAGTTGAAAACTGAAAAGATAATAACAGAATCGCCCTACACTAACAATTCCCCATCAAATTTGGAAATTCTGTTAAAGCACAATGGTGGAATGACACAAAACAATCATTATCCTCCAAATAACTCATGAATGATAAGTGTAATACCAATAATTCAATAATTATTAGTCCAACACTATTTACAATCAGCTGTGGATAATACAGATTGCAGAGCATGCTAGGGTTATTGATAGACCAGCAAAGCTTCTAGTTGAAGATCAC